CATCTTATACACAGTTTAACTGGAAACTTACACATATACCGATTATCTAACCTGGCCGTTCCTATTCCCAGGAAATTAGCCAAGAGCAACGGAAGTGTATGTCCACACAAAAACTTCTTCACAGAAGTTCATAACAGCTTCACTGATAAACCAGAAACTGTGGACCAGCGGGTAGCTTAGTTGTCAGCACATGGCTGGTTCCCACACGGCAGAATGCCAGGCCTGAGACCACGCCCCTGCAGCTTGAAAAACACTGGAAGTGCATGCCCAAAGTCCTGAAAGGAGAAATGGAGGAGAGGGCTGCAGCATGACCATCCTCCGTGGACAGTGCTTCCTCACGTCCCTTCTCCCTCTCTCTCTCTCTCTCCCTCTCCCTCCCTCCTTCCCCCTCTCTCTCTCCATCCCTCTCTGTCTCTCTCTCTCTCTCTCTCTCTCTCTCTCTCGCAAGCACATATACCCTCTACCAAAAGTTTTTTTAAAAAGCCAAAAGCTGGAAATGATCAAAACGAAAATGAACAGTCTTAGGTTGTCGGAAAAGTCATGACACATTTTTATGTAGAAAAGTAATGTTCTGGCTTTTCTGACGACCCAGTAAATTGTGATCCAGCCCCAACCATGGAAATGAGGAAAGGCTGATTTCAAAATAATGCTGAGGTTGGTGGCATGGTGGTTAAGGGTGCTGACTCCCACATGGCTGCCCATGGTTCAAGTCCTAGACCTAGTGGCTTGCTTTCTCACTTCCATTCTCTTGGTCTCTTTCTCTCTCCTCCCATTCCTCTCTGGTCAAATTTAAATAAATAAATAAATAAGTAAAAGATAATTCTTTAAAAAAAAATGATCACACTGAGCTAAAAGGCCAGATTCTACCATCGAATTCTATTTAGGTGAAATTGTAGAAAATGTATGTGATAGTGACTGAAAGAGCAGCCGCTGCCTTGGGGTGGGGGAAACAGGCAGAGGCAAAAGAGAGACTACCAAGTGGCAAGAGTAAATTCTGGGGAGGGACAGACATGTGTTCTATTTTGATTGTGGCTGTGGTTTCATAGGAATAGATTTATTGCAAAATTAATCAAACTATATATATTTTTTTCTTTTTTGGGGGAGAGGTTTTTGCTATAGGGCACATGCACTCACCAGACAGAGAGAGACAGAGAGATAGAAAGTGAGAAATCACCCCCTAGGGGGGATGGCCACGCCGCAATCCCTTCTCCTCCATTCGCCTCTCGGGATCTTGGGCACGCACGCACACGCGCCCGGCGTGAGTTTAAGCCACCGGGTCCGGGATGCGAACCACGGTCGACTACATGGGAGTCCAGCGACATAGACATTACGCTAACTGCTGGTCCGTCAAACTGTATTTTTAATATGTAGTTTGGTAACAGAAAAAAAGGCAAACTGAAGTCACTAAAGACCTATTATCTATAATGATAAACGAATAAGCATGTGTAACTACTGTCAGAATTCAGTTTGGGGAGGTGTTTCTGACTGGCTTGCATGGCAAGAACTAGTAAATTGGTGCTACCTCATTATTCCCTTTACCTGATACATTATGGTTGTTTTAGCCAACATAATAAAGACTTAATCCCTGAGGAAAATGTTCGAGAATCTCAAGAATTTAAATCTGGTCAAATTTTAGAAGGTTTATAAATCAGCATCACAATTCTACATTAAAATGTTCCTATAAGTGAACATTTATTGCAAATCTAGTATAAGCCAGTACTTAGGAAAGGAATATTATTTAAAATACTCATAAATTTTCAGGAAGCTTAAACAATGTTGAAAGAAAAAGAAACCTTTAAACATCTGTCTTATGCATTCAGCTCATTATCCCTACTACTTGACACTATTTACGGAGGCAGTGGGTCAAATGACTAGTCTATTTGGTACTTAGGTTATTTTATATCTTTGTTTACCATAAAATATAATACATAAATAACAATAGCATAAGCCTCTTCTTAAAGAGTATTCTATACATTAAACAGGTAAGTCACTCCAGTGACAACCTCGCAGCTTCTCCCTTATAAAAATACGTAAATAATGTTGGCCTACTTCAGAACATTGTTGAAAGAACCAAGGTAAATAACGTGTATAGGGTATTTTAAACCATAAAGAACTGAAAAAATAAAGACGATTATCATCATTAAGTTCTCGAAACTGTTATCCTGGCTCCAGAATAAAAAATCAAAAGCGTGAAGGTTGGCTGGTAAACATGAACATAAACCGAAAAGAAAGGCCTGGCATTCTGCCGTGTGGGAACCAGCCATGTGCTGACAACTAAGCTACCCGCTGGTCCACAGTTTCTGGTTTATCAGTGAAGCTGTTATGAACTTCTGTGAAGAAGTTTTTGTGTGGACATACACTTCCATTGCTCTTGGCTAATTTCCTGGGAATAGGAACGGCCAGGTTAGATAATCGGTATATGTGTAAGTTTCCAGTTAAACTGTGTATAAGATGGTCGTATTATTTTACACTCCTGCCCACAGCGTATGGTGAGTTCAAGCATCTCCATGTCCTTCCCTACTTGTCGGAAAAGTCATGACACATTTTTATGTAGAAAAGTAATGTTCTGGCTTTTCTGACGACCCAGTAAATTGTGATCCAGCCCCAACCATGGAAATGAGGAAAGGCTGATTTCAAAATAATGCTGAGGTTGGTGGCATGGTGGTTAAGGGTGCTGACTCCCACATGGCTGCCCATGGTTCAAGTCCTAGACCTAGTGGCTTGCTTTCTCACTTCCATTCTCTTGGTCTCTTTCTCTCTCCTCCCATTCCTCTCTGGTCAAATTTAAATAAATAAATAAATAAGTAAAAGATAATTCTTTAAAAAAAAATGATCACACTGAGCTAAAAGGCCAGATTCTACCATCGAATTCTATTTAGGTGAAATTGTAGAAAATGTATGTGATAGTGACTGAAAGAGCAGCCGCTGCCTTGGGGTGGGGGAAACAGGCAGAGGCAAAAGAGAGACTACCAAGTGGCAAGAGTAAATTCTGGGGAGGGACAGACATGTGTTCTATTTTGATTGTGGCTGTGGTTTCATAGGAATAGATTTATTGCAAAATTAATCAAACTATATATATTTTTTTCTTTTTTGGGGGAGAGGTTTTTGCTATAGGGCACATGCACTCACCAGACAGAGAGAGACAGAGAGATAGAAAGTGAGAAATCACCCCCTAGGGGGGATGGCCACGCCGCAATCCCTTCTCCTCCATTCTCCTCTCGGGATCTTGGGCACGCACGCACACGCGCCCGGCGTGAGTTTAAGCCACCGGGTCCGGGATGCGAACCACGGTCGACTACATGGGAGTCCAGCGACATAGACATTACGCTAACTGCTGGTCCGTCAAACTGTATTTTTAATATGTAGTTTGGTAACAGAAAAAAAGGCAAACTGAAGTCACTAAAGACCTATTATCTATAATGATAAACGAATAAGCATGTGTAACTACTGTCAGAATTCAGTTTGGGGAGGTGTTTCTGACTGGCTTGCATGGCAAGAACTAGTAAATTGGTGCTACCTCATTATTCCCTTTACCTGATACATTATGGTTGTTTTAGCCAACATAATAAAGACTTAATCCCTGAGGAAAATGTTCGAGAATCTCAAGAATTTAAATCTGGTCAAATTTTAGAAGGTTTATAAATCAGCATCACAATTCTACATTAAAATGTTCCTATAAGTGAACATTTATTGCAAATCTAGTATAAGCCAGTACTTAGGAAAGGAATATTATTTAAAATACTCATAAATTTTCAGGAAGCTTAAACAATGTTGAAAGAAAAAGAAACCTTTAAACATCTGTCTTATGCATTCAGCTCATTATCCCTACTACTTGACACTATTTACGGAGGCAGTGGGTCAAATGACTAGTCTATTTGGTACTTAGGTTATTTTATATCTTTGTTTACCATAAAATATAATACATAAATAACAATAGCATAAGCCTCTTCTTAAAGAGTATTCTATACATTAAACAGGTAAGTCACTCCAGTGACAACCTCGCAGCTTCTCCCTTATAAAAATACGTAAATAATGTTGGCCTACTTCAGAACATTGTTGAAAGAACCAAGGTAAATAACGTGTATAGGGTATTTTAAACCATAAAGAACTGAAAAAATAAAGACGATTATCATCATTAAGGTCTCGAAACTGTTATCCTGGCTCCAGAATAAAAAATCAAAAGCGTGAAGGTTGGCTGGTAAACATGAACATAAACCGAAAAGAAAGGCCTGGCATTCTGCCGTGTGGGAACCAGCCATGTGCTGACAACTAAGCTACCCGCTGGTCCACAGTTTCTGGTTTATCAGTGAAGCTGTTATGAACTTCTGTGAAGAAGTTTTTGTGTGGACATACACTTCCGTTGCTCTTGGCTAATTTCCTGGGAATAGGAACGGCCAGGTTAGATAATCGGTATATGTGTAAGTTTCCAGTTAAACTGTGTATAAGATGGTCGTATTATTTTACACTCCTGCCCACAGCGTATGGTGAGTTCAAGCATCTCCATGTCCTTCCCTACACTCTGTGGCCAGGAATTTTAATTTG